ATTATATTCTTTATTTTCATTAATTCATTCAAACCAATTACACGTTCCCGTTATCCTCATGTTCTGTCCCTAAAGCATCTAATTTAAGGGACCTAGCCTAAGGATTATCTTAGGAATTGACAATAATGCTTAGGGATTCTTCAGAAATATATGTCAATAAGGCAACCATGAGGGGGGGATGGAGTATACTTGTTGAACACGTAGTTCAAAAACACCTACAGGTTGCTTGTCTGCCATCGTTCCACTGGACTGTCTAGACTAGTCTATGGTCATCATCTATACTCCGCTAGATGGTTGGATCAGGTTTAAAGCCAAGGCCTCTCAACGTTTATTTCATTTTTCATAATCTATATCATCTTTCATCTACCCATCTTTACCCAACATATTTATAGGTATAAAATACATATACAGTTTAAATCAAGTAAAACATGTACAAGTTGTTCATCCAACATAGATATGAGGAACACAGATAATTGGCACATATAGTGCGTCATTTGTAATAAATACTTCACATCTATGTGTAAGATGAAAGTAACTATGCACTCACTTGTTAAAGTGATGACTCGAAATTCGGGCAGCGCTTCGCTTCTAACAATTGTCTTTTCCTTTTGACGAAACCTAGTATCATTATTACTAAGTTTTAGTCTAACATTTATTTCAACTAATTATTAGTCTAGATTCATCATGAATTCAAATTATATTTCACGATCTATCAAGTAAGGATCAACCAGGTAGGACAGTTGGGAGGCAAGACCATTTCGGCATATAGCCTTTCTGAAATCCAACAACCAAGCCAACGTTATCGTTCTAGAAACCTCTCCTGTAAGTAGATCAATAAGTATAACGAATTAAAATCACTGATAAATCTTGTCTATAGGTTCATAATAACGATAATGAACTTAAACATAAGTCATACTTAAAGTATGGTAAGCATAACCCACTTACAGGGGGTTTAGTGAGGAGCCAAGCTTTGCCTGGGCAAAACTTCTGAGCCAAAATCTCTTCTTCTCAGGGCCTTTTGGCGCACTGGGGCTTCACCACTAACACCTAGGAGGTGTTAGTGAAAGGCTTAGAAGCTTTGGGGGTGTTTGAGAGAGAATTGGTTGAGAAGGTGTAAGAGTTTGAGTGAAAAACGAGCTCCTATTTATAGGCCGGAAGAAGTACGTACATGGAGCATACTCACTAACTACGTTGGGCCTACTCCGTCTAGATGTCCCGATCTTTTTCCAAGCCGTGGGGAAGAAGTTGTGGCCCAGATCTTGCCACGTGTCACTTGCTGATTAATCCGAAAATTAGTTATCTTCTAAAATTTGTAACTTTCGCATACAAACTCCGTTTTTGACGTTCTTTATATCCGCACATAGCTATCGATGGGATCTACAACTTTCGCTTAGACTCCGTTGACTAATTTTGATTTTATTTTTAATGTTATATTTTAACAGACTTAGACAGTTAAAGTCCGTTAAAAAATCATAACTTTGTCATCCGACATCCGTTTTCGACTGTCTTTATATCGAAGAGCTCCTATTAATGAGATATTCAATTCTCGTATAGATTATGTTGGCTAATAATCGATCGATCTAAAATTCGATTTCCCAGTTGTATACTACTACACTGAATCTTAGAAAAAATCATAACTTCCTCTAACGAAGTCAGATTTGGACGTTCTCTATATGCACGCTCTCGGTTGAACGTCTATTAGGACTTTCTTTGTATCTCTAAGGCTAAAAAGTAGTTTATCAAAAATTTACTTTTTACGATACGCCACGCCATGCTGGTTTAGTCGCGAAACTTCGACGGGTCATAACTTCTTCGTTATAAATCGGATTTCAGCGTTCCTTATATCTCCGAAATTCTTGTTATGACTACTTCAACCTTCTTCAAAGATATTGGGTCTAATTATTGTTCTATTTTAGACGAATATTTTATTCGTATTTTATTACATCGTTATAAGCATATACATTGCACGTAAATCACATAAATCACATAATACTCAAATAATTATTTTTCAGTACATAAAATAGGTTACAATTGTTGACCCTAATTACTACATCATCATAATAATGCTTAGCCAGAAATGCGGGAGTTACACAAAAGCATCAAGTTTTCGACTTTGTTAGTTAAGATGTTCCTTAGGTTGAGATCTTTGAATTGGATGAAAGGTCTTTAAGTATTAAGATCTTAATATCGAGATTTGGATATCAAAAAAGTATGATAGGCGTACCCTCTTGCTACACTCGGCGTAACTGGTTGTACCCGTGTTCCTTTTCACTGATAATCCAGCTTGTTGTGCGTACACGTGGTATACGCTTGGCATACTCACCAGAAGGCCTTTTGGGACTTAGGCCATTATGGATTTGCGCCAAGGTTAGATGGGTCAAGTAGGGGAAGCGTAAAATGGTCTTTTACCCTTGGCATGATGGAACGTAGTATGGACCATTATTTATGGATTATTAGCCTAATTAATAATTACAGTTTATTTTGGATATATTCAATGTGAGGAGCTGTGGTAGCAGCAGCCCGCGAGTATGGTTTATTTATCATCAGATTGAGGTGAGTCTCCTCACTATACTTATAGGTCGAAGGCAACAATGTCAACCAACCAGATTATATTGTAGGATAATAATGATCTTTGTGAAACTTACTGTTATGCTTGTATGTGCTTGTTGTCTTTGTGGATCTCGCTAGTATGAATGTATGCTTAATTGTAAAGGGTGAAATAGACCAGTACTGGTTGAAAGATACTGAAGAAGGGACCCAAGGAGTCGGAAGGGACTCAAGGGTGAAATAGACTTGTTATATGTTTTAGTATGATATGTATGTTTGATTTATGATATGTGGTATTTGGGGAACTCATTAAGCTTTGTGCTTACGGCTTAATTTTATGTTACAGGTACTTCCGATTCGAAGGGGAAGGGCCCGACCTGATTGCAGTGCACCCACCCGTATCCAACATTTTCTATATGATTTTGGGGTTGTATTCTGATAACTATTTTCGCATTGAGATACTTTTGTTGGTTGATATGAATATTGGATGCTTTTGGTTGAATTAAACTGAAATTATTTACTTATGATCTTTGGGATGTTACAATCAAACCGAATAATGTATCCTTATTTAGCTAACCAAACCAAATTATTTGAAAACCAATTAAACCTAACGAAATTTATATCGAACATCATTTGGTTCGATTTTGGTTTTTTTATCACACCTTTGTTGAGGTGGTAGTTCGACGAATAAATTATTCATATTCTACTCTAATAAATGAAGATTTTTTACTAAATATATTAGTTTCATTCATTTTATCACATGTCATTTTGTGGTTATTTTAGATTTTTATTTTCCACATGACATTTTATGATTTTTTTTCTATTTTATTAAATTACACATAATATTAATATGTAATAATTATAATAAATGAATACCAATTCCATTAATATCTACTTTTTCTTATAATTTCAAATTCCTAAATTAATTTAATGACATGGTAAAATTAAATTTTGATTTTGATTTTATGTTGTGTACAAACAAGTCCAAAACAATTAATTTAATGATTTACGATAGTTATATCGATTTTTAATGTGTTTACTTTTTAATATTCTAACAGTTTAAAATATTTTAATAATTTAATATTTACATATTTTTTTAATTTTGTTTACTTTTAGATTACCTTCATTGCTCCAAATGGTAACAAACTATTAATTTTAGATATAAATGAAATGGAAAAATGTTAAATGTCTTTTTGAAAACCTTAATTTCTCATACCTTGTATTTAAAAAATGGATATTAAGCACACTAACAATTATAAATATGTTTTTTAAAGAACTAACCACTTTTTTTGTTTTTTAAAAATGATCACTTACTTCCGAAAGACCCATTTTGGATTTGATCTTCAAATTTGGGAGCTTTTTTTTTCTAATGAAATCTTTATGCTTATATCGGAAATTTTCATTTCAAAGTATTTAATGTTATGGTTTTTTAATCTGATGTTTGATTTCATAACTTAATATGTATCCAATTCATATTTACTATATTTATTCAACTTTTTGTTAGATTTAATTAAAAAAAAAAAATTGCTTGAAATATCAAAACTATTAATTAGATTTGTTTTTGAAATTCTAAAGTTTTTGAGACAACCAATATTCATTTATGCCTAATTGTATATTGCATTGTCATAAATAAAAAAACATAGATGAATTAAGAGTATTAATTTTAGACAATAATGATAAACTTAGTAATATGACATTTAATGTAAAATAGTTACTTATTTATCTTTTTTTTTTTAAATATGTCAATAATTGTTATTATTATTATAAATTAAAATATTTAATTAGTTATGAATTTTGATTGTATTTAATTTGAAGTTTAACTTTTAAAAAGATTAATATTTAAACATTTATATTTAATGTTTTTTAATCAAATGAGTTTCAAAAACTTCTACACAACAAAATCGTAAATAACATGTGTAAGAGGTCATGGGGCCTTCAGCTGTCACTACTGATAATCTTTTTCTCACTAGAACTCATGATTTTAGTATATAACTATAAATGGCAATAAGTTGGTCAAAAAAATATATAATATAGTCAATAAATACTTTAATTTAATATTTCAAACCTCCATTTTCTTCTATTCTCCAAAATTTCGCCGTCAAACCCCTTTGATTCCACTTCCAGAAGGCAATCACCATCAACAGAATCCGCGTTTGCATTTTTTTATTCTAATCTTTAGTCAGAAATCGTTAAAACTCAGGTCGATTGATTTTGTACACAAAAAGTATGTGTTTTGATTCCGATTCAAATATTCAATTAGTGTTTCACTCAATTATTGTGTTTTAACTCTTTTTTTTTTTGTTATTTTTACCATTTTATGGATTTTTAAAAGAACGTTAGTTCTCATTGGTTTTGCTTTTACTGAAATTTTGTAAATGATGAGGAAGAAAAATAAACAACCAACAAGATTTCCTTCCACAACTCATTATCCTTTGGGCCAAAATCAAGAAAACATGGTGGAATCATTCGTTTCCAAGAGCGATAGCCAAGAAAACGACCCAAAGGCTGCTGGTCGGATCGAAGGATTGGAATCCCATCAAGAAAAACCGCCATCAGAAAACAACCATGGTCTACAACTCACAATAGCGTATGGTGGTTTTCCGTCCACCCCCACTCCTACAAAAACCGTCAACCAACCCAACAAAAACCATGGTCTAGACCTTGGATTAGGAACCTTATTTGTTCACGTAATCCCACCTCCACAACCAGTTAACCACCACCTTGAGCCCGGTTTGGACACAACCTCTTTGATCAATGTCATAGGCCAGGACATCTCAATCACATGTCTACTCCATTTCCCACGAACCACCTACACTTCAATAGCATCACTAAACCGGAGGTTTCGTGAACTCATCAGAAGTGGAGAAATGTATAAACTAAGACACAATAACAAAGTAATTGAGCATTGGGTTTATTTTTCTTGCCATTCGGAGAAATGGGAAGCTTTTGATCCGTCTATGAAAAAATGGATGCAACTCCCTATAATGGATGACAACTATTACTTCAATATATACAATAAGGAATCCATGGCTGTCGGCACCCAACTACTACTTCTTGGCAAAGATGTAATAGGTAATGCGACTTACATATTCAAACTATTAACAAATTCATGGTCTTTAGGGCAGAAAATGATTAAACCCATATATATATATATATATATATATATATATATATATATATATATGGGTCGGCAAGTAGCAATCATACAGCAATCGTTGCAGGCAGAGTTAATCGAGCTAGAAAGATCACGAATACAGTGGAGCTTTACGATAGCTGGTCAGGGAATTAGGAGATGCTTCCGAGCATGATTAAACCAAGAGAAATATGTTCCGCGGTTTATATGGATGGTAAATTTTATGTAATTGGAGGGATGGGGATTGGAAGGAAGTCATTGACATGTGGTGAAGAGTATGATTTGGATGCTAAAAGGTGGACAGAAATACCCAACATGTCTCCGGTGGATGCTTATGGCGACTAGAGTGCACCATTGCTGGTTGCGGTGGTGGATAACGAGTTATATGCTGGTGTGTGGCCTGATATGGAAGTGAAAAATATGATAAAAAAAGAAAGAAATGGGATGTTATAGGGAGGTTGCCGGAGAGAGCACACTCTAGGAATAGTTGGGGGTGGTTTTTACCGGATTTGGGAATAGGATTATTGTTATCGGTGAACCTCGGAGAAGTGATCAAAATGTTGTGGAAATATATTCTTGGATTCCGAGTACAGGGCTACCGGAATGGACACTTATTGGTCAGAAAAGGTTGGCTACTAACTATGTTCATAATTGGGTTGTGATGGGTTCCTGATCAAAACAAGTTTGATAGCATATCAATGTCTAGGATACCGACATCAATTACCCTTGTAGGTAAAAGAAGTAGATTTTGGAATAAGATTAGACAAACATATGAGTTGTTCTAATCAGTATTTAGGATGATATCGTAAGATTCAAACAATTTATATATCTAAACAATGATCTATATATGTTGAAGTTTATGAGTAGTTGTTTAATCTTGAATGTGTTCATATTTTTATTTGGTAATTTAATTTGGGTTGATTAGTCTTGGTAATGATTCATGATTGAGTAAATGAAAACACACAAACGTATGGATAGACAAATGAAGTAATCTAGTAAATCTTGATCATGATAATCAACCGCATGAACTTCGATACCAAATTAAATCTTACAATCTCTTTGTAGACATTGTGATCTAAGTAGATGCATTAATTAATCAATTTGATTATAAAGATAACAATAAAAGCAATATGTGAGAAGTGGAGAACATAATCAAGTGGTAATTTGACCTTTAATGATATTTGTCGTTTCCAAAAAAATCAAGTAGTAACATACATAAATATCTGGTGGTTGGCTACAAATTTTCAGAAATAAGATACTGGAGACGGATATAAGTTTTTATGGTAGATTTGTATTTAGATCATTCTATTAAACAAAATTTGAGATGTTTTCATATCTAATTAGGGATACTATCACTAACACATGTGCCTTTGTGCCTTCCTGAAACATCCACATCTTTTAATATGTAAATAAATTCTCTATCGTGCATGGAGTTGGAGACTAGATGTTATAAGACATAGGCACTAGCAAGTTGCTGGCAATACAACTTATACGATAGCTACAAAGGTGTTGTACATCATGTGGATGGATCAAATTATTTAGTGCAAATATCACTTCCTTTTACATAAATGTGTTAGCCTTCTAGGATGCCTTGCATTCGATCAATCTATTAGGGTTTCAAAAATCATAAGAAATTTAATCAAGTGAATTAAGAGTTGATATTTGCTGAAATTAAAATATTGCAAATAATTACTTTTAAATCACACAACTTAAGGCAGAAAACGTTCTAATTTGCAAATGAAAAATATAATCATTAAGATATAATTATAAATCTCAAACTTCTTAATCTAATTACATAACCTTATTCTAGTATCTTTAATGAAAGTTAGACTTTGGCTAACAGCTGAGGAAAAGTTGTTGCAAGTTGAGAGAGAGAGAGAGAGAGAGAGAGAGAGAGAGGATGTTATTTTTTTTTCATTCAACGCCGACGTCCACCAATCCCACCTCAATCCTTCTTCCGTGTATTAATTTTATCACTCTATAATCAATTCACAGCATTAACAAACCCTGTGTATCCTTTTGATTGAAAATTGTTCAGTTCCTTGGTTAGAATATGGTTTATGGACAAGAATTTGGAAAGATTCTAATAGTTTCATAGTTAGACTAATGTAGGATAAAATATATAGCTTAAAGGTATGTTTCTTTCAATTTGGTTGGAATTTATAGTTATTCAATATATTAATTATTTATGGAACTAAATTAAAGATTTATTAAGTGTTGGTATTTGAGTTTTTACCTCCTATCTATGCAAACAGGGTTACCGTTGAGTATGAAAAAAAGTGTATGTTAAACATTGAACAAAGCCATGCAATGGAGAAAACTATGATGTTTTTGGTCCATAAAAGAGCAAAGGCTACCGCAGGTTAGATTGTAGTTGTAGCCCCTTCGCCCTTGAGGCTACAACTACAAGCATGGAGTTGTGCTTCAAAGTGCATTAGGTTTAGCAAGACATCTTGTGTTGCCCACGTTATGACTTTTGTAAGTTCATGTGAAAATTGTTTTAAGATCTTATGATCCATGATTTAATCTATTTAGTTTAGTTTTATAAACAAGTTTTTAAAGGCTAACCGATTCACCTTACTATAATTTAGTATTGGTTACACGCTTTTAATTTGAACTGAAAACAGAACATAAAGGTAAAATTATCATTTTCATCATTAAACACAAACGGTTAGATAAATAATTAAACAACATGGTTTCAGTCAGATGTAAATTCAATCGTACTTTAGACCCCGACATCTAACTCAAATTCCAATCACCAACTATCAAACAGCCCTTTAACTTATCGTTACAATACCATTACCCTTCTTCTAGCCATTATGATCATATATATATATATATATATATATATATATAATATATATATATATATATATATATATATATATTATATATATATATATATATATATTATTTTTACTTAACAAAAAGTATTAAAATATATTCTTACATATTATGATCCATAATCTATTAAGAGCTATATATCAATGATGGTAACTGAATACAAGGTTTTCCTTATTGCAAGACTTAGACTGTGTTTTACGCGCCACAACTAGTTTATTTTTCGAGTTTTTCTATATTGTCGTGTTTGACAAACCAAAAAGTAAGTTATAAGCTAGCTTTTTGAAAAGCTACTTAGACTAGCTCTTTAGGAGCTTTTTTAAAATTTTCCAAATATACCCGTTAATAATTATTGAAACACATATTCTTAAATATCCTTTTATGTAATTTTATTTATTTCTATTAACTTTTCAACTAGTTTTACCAAACGTTATTTTTTATCAGCTAGTTTTTCAGCTAACAACTAGTTTTTTTAATAGTTAGTTTTTCAGTTATCAACTAGCTTTTCAACTAACTAGCTCCTCACTAGTACGACAAACATAGCCCTATCCTAACACCTTCTTACATGAGCTAACAAAAAACACATACCGTCCTTTCCAATGTATCCTTCTACTTTAGTTAATTGAATTCATGACATATCTATCCCATATATTATTATTTCACAATGCATATCAAGCATATTACATAAACAAACACACACACACAAACAAATATGTACATGCTTACATATATACATAAAAACATACATAGATGGCATGCATGCATACATTGCACTTAAATTATGGCGTCCATTAATGTATGTTAATTAGTGCTTAATGATCACATAAAACATAAACTCGTTTGGTAATCAGTAATGACACCAAGTATCTAAACTAGAAACGATAACATAAAATTGTTTGTCATATTTAGAATATCTATACTTTATAACTTTTACTTTCTCCTTAAATAATGAAATGGGGCATAGATTTTTTTTTTTTTTTTTTTTTTTTTTTTTTGGAAAACTACTATTTCCAACATCGAAATCATCATATTCAACATGAAAAATGGTCTCTTTTTCTTGAATTTTTTACATATCCAGTGGTACCAATGTAACGTTCACTTCATCATCTTAAAAAATCTAGGTGTTTAAAAAATTATCATGTTTGGTATGTTGGTGATTAATATATCACACACATCAATATGGATGACTTCACACCAAACTCCATATTGATACGTTTTACTAAACAACAATTACTCAGCTTAATAACATTCATTTTTCAACAAAGTCATTTTGTATGGTATAGGTTGATCCTCCTTTTTCGATGCAAGTTTATACACGATGTGGGTTTAAACTATCTTCTCACGATTTCCCCTCCCCCAAAAATGATCAAAGTACACATTTTTCCTTTGAGCTGTACTTGGTGTAAAAGATATTGTATCATCGTCAATGTACTTGGATTTGACATCATTCAGACCTCTTAAAATCACCACTGACTTTCTATGATTAGGTGGAACAACCTTGATTCCATAATAAACAACATTCGTGTATAATTGTAATAAATGGATGGATAACAATTCCAATATTAATACACACTTTTCCTTTTAATTTCAAAAATTCAACATGGTAAAATTAAATTTTGACTTTGATTTTATGTTGTGTACAAAAAAGTCCTGAACAATTAATTAAATGTTTTACAATAGTTCTATCGAGTTATAATGTGTTTACTTTTTAATATTTTAATAGTTGTAAAATATCTTAATAATTTAGTATTTACATCTTTTTTAATTTGGTTTTGCTTTTAGATTACCTTCATTGCTCCAAATGGAAACAGACTATTTACATTAGATATACATGAAATGGAAAAATGCTAAATGTCGTTTTGAAAACCTTAATGTCCCTTATGTTGTATTTAAAAATGGATATTAAGCAAACTAATAATTATAAATGTGTTTTTAAGGAAATAACTATTTTTTTTGTTTTTGAAAAATGATCACTTACTCCTCAGTGATCCATTTTAGATTTGATTTTCAAATTTCGGAGTTTTTTTCTAAAGAAATCTCTATGTTTATAACTGAACTTTTCATTTCGAAGTGTTTAATGTTATAATTTTTCAATCTAATGTCTGATTTCATAACTTAATATGTATATAGTTCACATTTACTATATTTATTCAACTTTTTTCAAGATTTAAAAATTTTGCTCGAAATTCCGAAACTATTAATCAAATTTTGAATTTGTTTTTGAAGTTCTATAACTTTTTAGACAACCAATGTTCACTCATACGTAATTGTATATTGCATTGTCATAAATAAAAAACAATAAACAAATATGAATTAACAATATTAATTTTAAACTTAATAATATAACATTTAATGTTAAAGTAGTTATTTATTTATTTTTTGAAAAATATCTTAATAGTTTTTTTATTAGTATAGATTAAAGTATTTAATTTTTTATCATTGTATTTAATTTGAAATTTAACTTTTAAAATACTTAATATTTAGACATTTATATTTAATGTTTT